TCGCTATTTTAGCTTGCCTTATTTCCCAGCACAATCTGTGGAAATTATATATGTATATGTATATATATATATATATATATATATATATATATATATATATATATATATATATATATATATGTATATATATATGTATGTATGTATATACATATATATACTATACATATTTATATGTATATATATATATGTGATATATATATACGTATATATATGGTGTGTATATATGCATATATATACATATGTATATATAAGTATATATATAAATACTCACACACAAACACACAACACAACAAACAAACACACACACACACACACACACACACACACACACACACACACACACACACACACACACACACACACACACACACACACACACACACCACCACCACCATTTTCTCTCCCCCAGCATCTCTGACCACGCGAGCTTCGGGCGCATGAAATCCCGGCACGAGCAGAACGCCTCCGACCGCAACCACACCCCCGGCTTCTTCCGCAAGGGCCAGACCGGCGACTGGGACAACGCGGCTTCCGGCGAGCTCACGGCCGCCATGGACCGGTGGATCGCGGACCATTCGCAGGACACTGATATTGTGTTCAGATACAAGTGATATGTTTGTATACACACACACGCACACATAGGTCTATATCTATGTGTGTGTGTGTGTGTGTGTGTGTGTGTGTGTGTGTGTGTGTGTGTGTGTGTGTGTGTGAGTGTGTGTGTGTGTGTGTGTTTGTGTGCATAAAAAACATTTTTGAAATCTATAGTTATCAATGTAAAAATATACATCGAGCAAAACATGTGTTGTCATTTACATACTGCCATGCTTTGTAAAATCTGTATAGATATATCGTCTATATTATTACTGATGATTTTAACCAAAACGTTTTTTAATATTAACAGCATTGCCATTTATTACATTTTCAACGTCTTAACGGGAAGTGTCCCTCGGAGAGATTTGGGTCTGAGTTTGGTATAAAAATATGTTTACGCATAAATGTTATCTATTGCCTTTTTAAATAACACGCTTACAAAGTCTATATGATTATTCAACTTAATTGCGATTATATATACGTGTATGTGTATACATATGTATATACATATATATATATATATATATATATATATATATATATATATATATATATATATATATATATATATATATATACTTATAAGGGCATGGTAATATAATAGTTTTTGGGTAATAGCAACAAGATATAAAAGACACTATGACCAAAGTCCCAAACAAACAAATCGCACCGGATAAGGATAAGTCCGTATATGTGAAGCTGAGCCTCGCCCGGGCTATGTCCATGAGGGGAACCCGACCTGTGTCGACTAATGTCGCTAACGCGTGCCATCTTGTGCTGACTCGGCTGAGCCTAGTCCTTACCCGCCGTGGTGCAGTAACTTCCAGGCGACAATTGCAACTTCTCGCGCCTTTGCGGGGCGCTAACCGCCGACCCCTCGGATGACAGGCCGACACGGTACCACTGTACTAGCCCGGAGGCTAATCACACCGGCTTCAGCTATACAGAATGCTTTGCCTAACTAACCCCAACTCTTATTCTAAATGAGATTCTAGCTTTTCACAATGAAATTCTCTATCCTTGCTCTGTTTAAAGTCCTTAAAAACATAAGACCTGGCTTGTAGCAGGCAATGCATGTGGACTTATTTTTTCAGTCGTTTTTACGGGACAGATGGCCTTTGTGCCCGCTTCTGGAGGAGTGGGAGGCTTCGTGGGGAGCCTGTAATGCCAGCCCACAAGCTAGTCGCTACTCGTAAAAAAAAATTAGAAGGAAGCGTGGTCGCCTTATAAGATCACGATACTCGGCTTTGACAACCACTCAACAATACTTCGACTAGGGAAAGGTCTCACAGTACGTAAAACCTCAGGAACACTCATATACCACAGGTTCATACTTTCTGCTTCTATAGAGTAGGGGGTCTCACATACTAATAAGCCCTGCATCTCTACGTCTCACAAGTCCAAGTGTAACTTCTAAGTGATATTAAATGAAAACAGAAAGGTAACCGGAAGCAGCCCCCAACCTTTCATGGGCACGAGAAGTTAGGAAGTTGCTGAGATAGGCTTCCCAGGCATCTATTAACATGGTCTGTATAAGTATAAAGTATATAGACCTTTTCTGTTAATAGAACTAGAGTCTGTTAATAGAACTAGAGCCTGGGCACAATCGCTCGGAGTCTGACCCCATGTCTACCTGAGGAGGATTAAATATCTTTGAAATGGTCTTTATAAGTGATAAGAGTTTCAATTGAACAAAAAAAATGTAAAAATGCAACATCATAGAGTGTTCGTGCTACAGAATCTGAAACGGTTAATAAAACTGCTGGTCGGACAACAGTCAACACACATTCATCTACACACACTCAGACGCGCACACACACACACGCATTCCTAGGCGGAGTGAAAGGCAAACTCCTCGAACATATGAAAGACTTCCTGCACGAAAGACAAATAAGCGCAGTAATTA